GAGAGTATAAATACAAGCTCTGTAGGAGCTGTAGAATAAGGAGTTCATACCTTCTGGCCTTACCAGCCTGGAGTCTACCCTGTGCATCACCGAGGATTTCCAATATACTGTGATGGGGGTGACAAGGCCATGTTGCAAAAGTTGGATGGTCTTGAGGATAGGAAATATGCTGGTTACTGCTTGGAGGTGTATTCTCCTACCACTTACTCAAGTTTTAAGCTTACTTGCTGAAAAACACTTAGGTTGAAGTTCCACATGAACCCACATACCAGGTTATTAGCATTAGGCCATTGCAACAGGGTCTCACCAAGCCTCATCCTCAGAAACCCCAGTATGCAAGGCCTCTGATGTGTGTCCCCATATTGCCGGCAACAGCCCATCCTAGGTACAGGGAACCTCTCGACGTGACGATACCACTGCCATGGGATAACTGCTATCATCCTACCTGCTACGACGTTTGCGTTCGTGTACCGACGGAAAGGCGGGACTATTGTCAGTCATGATATGTGAAAGGGCACTTTTCTCGCGAGCTTCGTACAGCCTTCGACGAGGATGATCGCTACGAACAACTTCTTCGGGCTGGACTAGACGATGATCAGATCCTTCGAGTTCTCGACGGTCAAGAGGATCCCCTAGCTACAGATGTGCCGGACGAAGCTTCGGAGACTGATAGTTTAGCTAGCCCGATGTTCCTGGCCAAGGTACCAAGCTCCGATAAGCTTGAACATGAACCGTGCTTCGTGCCTGTTATGCGTATCGACCACATCCTATCGAACGTCCCAGAAATAGCTGATCCATCGCAGCTACGTGGAGATCTGGATCTTTTTCAAGAGTAAGCAATCCTCTCTAATTGTTGCGTATTTTCTCCCTAATTGTTCTTTTTCTTTTCAGAATCGTGCACGAGTATCAGCTTGCCCGCTACGGATCGGTCCTTTTCGACCCGCAAGAGGATCCACCGATTGACGACACACCTGTCCGTGACAACGTTTCATCGGTTTATACTGTATATACTGTAGGATCGGCAGAATCTCGCGCGAGCTCGACGGAAGATTTGAGCTCTGATTCTCCGGACTCTCACGAACTGCACTCATTGTCAGAGCAGTCTCCCCAGGTGCCGGTGCCGGTGTCTACTCGGAAAGGTAAGTATCTAAGTGTCTCGACCGCGGCCTCCATTGAATTTTGCTTCTAGGTAAATTGAGAGTCAGGTCGCTCCTCCAAAAGGTGATCACGAATTTTGTCGAGGTCTTCAAGCGGCCCAAGGTTTCTCGCAAGTTGTGATTTGGTCTGCGGGATAGACCCAACACCTCACTTTCGTTTTATTATATACATTATTTTGTATCGCTAATCCTATTGTACAACTCACTCTCTGGTATGGTACCGCGGCTTCTTTTCGCATAACTACTATTATTGCAATATATGAAGGGGGGGAGAATCTACCAGAAGTCAAGTTATAAGCTGTCCTCAATTGCCCAGATCTGGCCACGACGGTCTTTATTTAGTGCCTTCTCATGCTACTGGATGAATAACGGCTGTTCTTTCGGTTGATCTCGCTGTACTGATGATAATTCGCAGACATCGTAAGCTAATGGTTGGCGCTGAGGTATCTGGATCTCGTTGGTGATAGATGATTTGAAAAAAAAAGGTTTTTAGCTGATGGCGCTTATTAGACCAACCTTGCCAGACGTGTTGGTCCCCGGGCCTTTGCAGCGATAAATTGGCAACCACGCCATGACTGGCCCTCGGCACTTCCCTCATCTTATCATTATATCGCGAGTCGTCGTATCGAAATCATGGTCTGCGATACCCATTTTTCTTAGTCACTAGTGGTCTCGAAAAAACATATCCAACGATGACATGTTCATTGGCGTCGGGAATCGCCCTGAAAAGCTGCTGTTGATCAATAGGACATTCCTGTCTCTGCTGTACAAACTGTGACTACGAAAGTAATATTACATGTAGTGTCTCCTTTTTTAGTTGTTGTCGTGAGAAATCGAACATGTAAACGTACCAGTAAATCAGAGTCCCATTGTATCCGCTGATGTTGGAGACTGGCCAATGGTCGGGGACATAGACGTGGTTTGCTCTTACCCTCAATTTTGTCTTTGCTGCATACTGACATTTCAGTAGAACTGGATTTCACAGGTTGCGATCTTCGACGTAGGAAAATTAACGCTAGAAACTACTTTGGTGACTGTATGCCTAGATGACTATATGCGCCTGGTTTACCTCTTCTTTGTCTAAGGTTGCATCATTCATTGGGCGCCTTTATGGATGGCGTCGAAGCAACAATAGCGAACATGGGACTTACCTTCCTGTCCAATTTTAACGGATACTAGAGGAAGACATGTCACTCCAAGTGAAGTTTGGACACTTGATGGCAATCTTGATACTGGCCAACTCCTCAATTGCTCATCCCGGTGCTCCGGCCTACTCAGCGGGCTGCGCACCATCGGCACCATTCATGGCGGCTGATACTTAATCTCTCTAGTACGAAGTATGTGAATTTTCCCAATGTTTTTGTCTTTTCTTATACGATGCAGATATCATCATCAAAAGCTCATCAGTATTCAAGAATAGCATGAACATTAGCTGCTTTTATGCTTGCTAGAAAATATTCTGCTAAACCTCTGAGAAGTTGAGAGAGGCGCCGCTAAATCGGTAGGTGTAGCTTCATCGCGTTTTATGCATCGTTACTCATTATCAAGCTAAAATACATTGGGGTTCCTCTCGCTGGGTCCATCGGGTTTACGGCTTATTCTATCGTGAGGGAGGAGGCCAAAGATATGGAGAGAGAACCGATGAAGTTGTGAGGTAACTTTCTGCTTTTGCTCTCCAAAATGAGATGCTGACCTGTTTGTCGGTGCAGGTTGCAGAAGCAGAGATTTATTAGTGAATCATGGCACCGATTAAGCGTCGCGATCATCTTCTTTAGATTAGGCTGTTCGCAGAAGCCTACAATATATGATTTTCGATAATATTCACCTCTAGCATATCGTTCTCCTCCAAGAGTGGCAGTTTTCCTTTCACCCACTCTCTAGAGTACGGTCCTCTCCATGGACTGAAGTCTGTAGGGCGCAGTCTGAATGCAACCTTCAAAAGACGAAACGACGACATTTCTGAATGAGCGAGAGCTTGGTCAAGGCTGGACCATTGCGCTGCCCAGTCTTCGTCTTCCCAGTTCGCGTGTTCTCCGTCATGGTTATATGGGGGTATGATTGTCAGTGTCAGCGTCTCCAGCCTGACGGGATCTGTCGCGCCCGAGATAGAATGTACCAACCACCTCATGACCCTGATATGCCAATCGCAGTACAGATCACATTTCATCTCGACATGGAGAGTTGACATGGTCAGAGGGAGCGTCGGGTGAGCTGGCCACCTTGACCACGAACCGGGCGTATAAGCTTCAGCTCGGTCAGCAGGCATTGGCTGTATCGAACAGTACGACTCACCTCCGTAACGGAAACGAATATCAAAACTCTTCCAAGAGCTCGGTGCCGCACGGATGAAGGTGCATATGGATGGAAGATATTCAGCCGAGGGATAGTAAATGTGGAGCTCACGGAGAGAGTCGACATAGATTGATCGTAGGTCTCCCCGGTGAAAGAGTGATTCGACGATAGATTCATTGAAGAATGTCCCATATAACGATATCCTCTTGATCGTCGGAAATTCGAAAGACTCGGAACTTAGGTCTTCCGATATGCTGTGACAGCTAAAAAACACGTTTTTCAAATCGAGATCTGTCAGTCCGGGCAGATGGGAGATAAGGGAGTGGAGGTGCGATGGGTCTTGAAAGAAGATGAGCATGAGAGAAAGGGAGGCTAGGTTTGGCAGAGAGGAAAGGAATGAGGTAATGGAAGATACTGGTAGGTCTTGCACATCATGGGCGACGCTTTGGAGCTTTACTTCCTTTATGTATTCGACAACCCTTTTGAAGGAAGGATCCCCGGGATCGATGTTCAGGGCTCCGTTGAATTTTAACCCTAGTGTGTGGAAGAGATGTACCCGCGTCCGAGGGCAGAACAGCCGACAAACGAAAGAACAGGCGAGCAGGGTGTCCTTGTCATCCCAGAGACAGTCGATGATTGCATCGATGATTTCTGGTGGGATGTAATCTGTGACCTGCGATTTGCGTTAAGAGAGAGGAAGGGATGTTAATGGATCTGATAAAACTTGCAGGGTTTTGAGTCGCCGTCGTCATGCTTGCGCACGCCCGTTCAATCAGATTTTTTGTCTGGGGGGGACCCGGGGAACAGCGCCGACTCAGACGACACGCTGAATTCCCGAGAAGTAGAGACCGGCCACCTTCAAGTTGAAAATAGCAAACGAGAAGAAACGAGAAAAAAAGCCAAAAAAATCAACTCCAAAGGTGAGTTACGTTCCCCTTTGAAATTCAAATAGCTTCCGCGGCTCGGCGCTTGCTGATCGCGTGCTCAGAATTGGGAAGAGGGGAGTCTACTCCTCACCTTGGGGACCCATGCGCTTAAACACTGTTCTTTCCATGGTAAATGACATACATTAATGATCAGATTTTTCACAGCGGCCCTGCTATATACACTCATACCACTACGCCTTTCTCTTCTTCAGAAACTCGGTGAAGCGTTTGTCGGTGGCGAAGTACCCATTGAAACGGAGACCAACATGCATGCCTGCCGCCTCCATTTCTCGCAGTCACTTCATCTGAAATGATGACGTCCTGGCTAGGGACATCTCCATCGCCCCTCTCGGTCTCTATCATACGCATTCTGAAATTTCTAGGACATCGAGGACACCTTGACGGAGCCATTTTGAGAAGGCGCTCATCCTGGGAAGACGGACACACTGTCAGGCGTACGCAGCACCAAATCTTGAAGGTTTGGGAGGATACCAGGTTCGCCCTCCTCCTCGAATGTCAACTCTCAAACCACATTCACCGGCGTACCGGTTAATAGTGAGTGGTAGGGAAACGATCGCAAATGTCACTGAGCGCCACACAGAATGGAGTAGCCTGAGATAAGCGGGATCGACTTCTGGGTTATTTAGGCTGCTTGAGAACTCTTCGTAGAGGAATAATTGGCCCTCCTCCAAGTTCGGCATGATACACCGGTCCAGAGTAGAGGGGATTTTGCCACTCAATGTCAGTGTTCGGACATTGTTATTGATGAAGACGGGAAAGAGGTGTGCATCAAGTGGTGCAGATGATTGGACAATATCTTCCGGACGTGAAAAGTACGTCCTCCAATGCACTCGCCTCCTTCACGCAGGCGTAAAAAATCTGGATTTGCGTTTTCTGGCTCATCGATGGTTGGTCAGCTGAGAAAGAACTAGTACTGCTCGTGAGAGTTCCCGGCCACTGGACAATATGCCCGGAGAAGGCGAGGCGCTGGAGGAGGGGAGCAGACGAAAACATGCGTAAGAGGTGCGTGTGGGCAAGACTATGGCTGTGAATCATCAAATAGAGAGAGAGAGAGAGAGAGAGCGTAACAGCGGTAAATGACTGGAGAAGTCTTGAAGGGCTGATGCTGGTCCGCAGATGGTAAGGGTTCACATGAGACCACCGACGTGAATGGAGAACAATGCCCTCTGAAACAACATCTCCATCATCTCTGGTACAAAGATGCTTTCGCTCAGTATCATAGGGATGGATCATGGCAATGTAGATTCGAAGTGGTAAACTCCTGGACAGGGAGAGCAGATTTCTGAAGTAGACGGCGTTTACCGGGTAGGCAATCTGAACGACACTTGCTCGTGACGGATACGTCTGTCCACAGGGAAGGAAGGGGAGGAACGAGAAAGGTCTCTCCAGGTGACAGATATAACCGAGCAGCCAAGATACGGCCGTCAAGTCAAGTCAAGTCTGGAGCTGCACTTTTGTAGCAATAGACAACTGAAAGATATGTAGCTAAGACATCGTTCGGAAGACGTCGAACAGGTGCAAACATGGATTTGTGATTTTTGAGATCCTGCACGGGTAAGATCTTGTTCGTACTGGGAGACGGGCGATGTGCGATGCGGATGAGGCTCGTCAATGGCGGGCAGCGCGAGGCGACATATATGTTCCATTACTGAGGCCAACGTCAGAACTGCCCCGTGCGGAGGAACGTCACAGCATCGACGCACATGATACGTGGCCCTACAGCCGTATTCGTAACCGAGGAATTCCTCAGAACAGTATATGAGATATACTGGGGGCGGGTGATAGCGGAGACAAGACGAGCTGTCCGATTCCATTGATAACACAGACTGTCGAGGGCCGCCAGTAAACTCAATAGCTATAGAAGAAGTCAGAATGAAGAAGCATCTCCTCCCGAGAAAGGCATACGTACCTGCGTGAAAATTTTCAGAATTCTGTGGGGACCGCGGCTAGAGGTAACGAGTAAGGTGGGATTCAGGACGCACGTGTAGGATTAGCCCATTTGCTTGCTATTCCCGTCTCCTTTTCCTATGAAGCCGCAGAACAATAGATAGGAATATGCACGCACAAGCTTTTTGGGTATTCATAATTCACACCGATGGCGGATTAACCTTGGAGTGATGCGCTCCGAAGATTATAGAACACCATCCTCGTGCAGTCAGCCAAGAATTGAGGGGGAAGGAAGGAATCCACAACCATGGCTGAAGAGCCCGCTTTCTCCAGCCTCTCGTAGGCGGATGGATATGTCGGTCCTGCGGCATTAGTAACTATCTGTCGCAGGATCACCTCCATGTCAGATCTTCGGTTAGTCCTTGAAACATCCGGCTTCTGCCAAGACCCTCTATTCCTTCGTCACATCTGGGCTACCCAATAATTCCATGACTCTGTCCCAAGATGGCATCGAAAGAGTCCCGAAAAACGCGTCCCAGAAATTCTGGTTTAAATGTACCTGATTCCGAAAACGAAATAGTGCTCCATTCAAGTACCTATCCGCATTGCCTTGAAAATATTTGACCTGATTGGCCCGCTCTCGAAAATTTGATGGACAGAAATAAGCGGTCAGAGAGGGAAGCCGCATCTTGAACCGAAGACAACTAGTCAAAATAATTATTAAGCTTAGAGGACAGAGTACCCCCCCGCCATCGAATATGACGCCTGCCAACTCCTCAAGCCAGTTAGGCAGGAACTCGCCAAAAAAAGCATCACTCACTGCTCGGATTTGCCGAAAAGGTTATAGACTCTTTTTTGGCGAAGAAAAGTTCGTTTCCGGGGGAAAAGGAAAGAGGAGGAGGAGAAAGTCAGACAAGAACCCACAAACGTTATTTTCCAGTGTCGCGAAGCTGAGGTCAAAGACGGTGGGGGAAGTCTGATGCCCAGACCCGAAGGCCTGCTTATATCCCCCTGTTACTTCATCCACCACCACATGCTAGGGGCCTGGCCTCATGCTAGGTCATGTCATGACATCGTTCTTGGATACAGGAAGGCATGCGGGAGGAAGAGAGGGCGATGGAAATTAGGCTTCCTGAATACGGGATCACCGTTAGCATTGGTAAGAGGTCAACATGAAACCCAAAGTTGGACGGTTAGACCAAGAGCAGCAGCGAAGCATCGTGTCTTTTTCATTCTGAGCATTCTCTCAAGTCCAATAGAAAAATTAGAAACTCTTCCGACGTCAGTCTAAACTCACAAATATGGGATTCCTGCGGAGAGAGTACAATGGGCGACAGACAAGCAGCTAGTGATTCATTTCAAACATCATCTTGATATTCGAAACCGAATAGAATACACAATCCGCAATGAAAACGACTAGTCAGAGATGTGTGGGTGAGGATAAGAAAGTCTGTCAAGATCCCAAAAAGAATGGAAGCAACTACTCCCCGCTCAGCGGACTCGGCCTCTTAGGCTGGGCAGCTCCAGGCGGCAGTGGAGGCAAGGGAGTGATAGCTCTAAATGGATCCTCCTCGATGCTCGGCTCGAGAGAATGCCTACTCGCCTCACGTGGAGGCGGCCACACCTCTTCGTGGAAAATGCTCCCCGAATCACCCCGGACTAGCGAGGTATTGGAGTACATCGACGGTTCGGACAGCAGGAAAGAAGAGTGAGAGACAGATTGAGGTGCCGACGCTGGCGTGTTCGGTTGATCCCTGTACCTCGTCGTATCCTCAAACTCGTCATCCAGCAGGCCAACGGCTCCAGCACCCTTGCCCTCCCGCCTGATCCGCTTGATGGTCTCCATGAACCCGATGCGCCGTTTCTGGGCGCGTTTGTACACGAAGACGGCAGCGAGGGCGAGGGCAGCAAGGACGACAGCGGTGGTGGTGATGCCGGCAATGAGTGCAGTACGGTTGATGCTGCTTGGACCTGAGTCGGAGTTGGAAGTGGCGAGAGCCGTAGGCATGTTGGTGGTATATGTGGTGAGCTGGCCGGAAATGGAGGTCACGATCGTAGTGAGAGACGTCGTGCTCAAGTTGGACGATGTCGTGAAGGACGGCGAAGAGGTGGTTGTCTGTGTTTCAAAGGTGGTGGACACTACTGAGGACGTCGTTGATGTGGACAGGACAGACGTCGTCGAGGTAACAGTAGCAGTAGTGGACGATGTGGACGGCATCACAGATGTCATGGAGAACGTCGAGCTCGATGTCGGCGTTGACGTTGCGACAGCAGAGGAGATACTGCTGCTACTACTGGTTGTTATGATTGACGTCGATGACGTGGAAGATATCGTCGAGGTCTCTGACGTTGAGCTCGTCGAGGTGTCACTCGTGGATGCCGCGTCGCTCGTAGTCGTTGGTGTTATCGACGACCCGCCACTTGATCCCGACCCCGCCGCACTCGAAACCACTCCAGCGCTATCCGTAACCGACACCTGTCCTTCGCCCGTAGAAGTTGCCTATATTTCATCAGCGCAATCCATTGGGTGTCTTTTCATCAGGACATACGGAGGTGGACTGGCTGGTGCCGGATTCGCTCGCAGGTCCCTGACGAGGGCGCAGTTGGCGCTTAAGAGCCATTAAAGTCGCGTTGAAGGATCGAGATAGGCATGCACTACGGCAACAAGGGGAGAAACAAGTGGAAGAAGGAACAAACAATGAAAACGAGGCTCGTCGGATCGACTGTCACACGGCATTTGCCGCAGTGTCGCGACACTCGGATTTTGTCTTTACTCCAAATGACGACGAGCCGAGAAGGGTCGGGGAATGTCTGAAAAGCAAGAAGAGAAGCAATCATTCAAACGTTGTACATTGCAAGACAACAGACAACGGGTGCAGAAGCAGAGGCAACGATAATTTGATAATTCGAGCCCATTCCATTCGAAGACGAAGCACCCACCATGAACAGGAGAAACACACCATGGTAAGCAAGCAGTACGTCAATCTCTCGTGTACAAAGACGCTGTCGTCCTGTTTCGAAATTCGGATGTTGGTAAAAAACGACTATATGCAAGTAGATTGGCCATCTTGGGATGGTTGATACCATCTATTCGGTATAGGCAATTTTGATTGAAAGATCGGTCCTAATATATAGTCTAAAGTAAAAAGCTGAGCAGAGAATCGTGACAAGTACTTGGAGACTCACTGATACCCGAACATAGTACTCTGACCATTAAGATGCGACTTTTATTGCCGCCAAGATTTCATAGCGTCAAAAAGCAGAACGTAGCGCTGGACCAAGACAGAAACGGAGACCTATTCGTTATCAACAGCACGCTATTGGCATTGGCAAAGACAGATGAACAGGTACGCCCACCACCTTTTCAATAGATTTCGAACTTTGACGGTGATGGCGAAAGGGAACGCGTGATTTGTTTGTTGCCGCCGTGGGCCAAATAACTCTTCTTCATCGACCACGACGACCTCAACCCTTTTTGCGTATGCTTCTCTCAGGACGACACCTTATTGTATTCATCATCTCTCCTTCACCGGCGAAATAAAGGTCTGTCAGACTAGCTTTCACCGCTTCGTCAGTCCGACGACTCGCACGTTTCAATTGGGTCATTATTCAAGTCTACCTTGTGGATATAAAATATATCCTGTCCTTTGTCTGTCGAGGTTCATGCCGAGGTAAGATGACTGGCACTTCCATGTCCTCCAGTCTGGAGTCGGTAACAATGCTGTTTTCTTGGTAAACCAGACGAACCAGGGACGCCGTTGTATCCGCAGAATAGATAGGGCGATATATCTTTCATGCAGAATTCGGTGCGTCTTGCTCGTAACTGTGTTTCAAGCCGATGTCACCAATCACAGGTACTTGAGATTCTTCTCGAGCTTCTGTAGCGACCTCAGTCATGTTCGTACGCCGGAATGTCAACTGACTTCAGCAAATTGGTCATGGCCCATAACAAACCATATAAATTATGTCTGATGCAAGTATATTGCCCAACCTGCCTTCTTCGTGTCCCTGGCCAAGAGTATCCTTTCGTTTCGATGGTCGCTAGGTCTCGTGAGAAAATGACTACGCCTTACTGAGAAGACATGCTCTAAGTTATGGTACACAACGTCGCGACCGTGACAGACAAGGCACTTGACTGTTGAGAACTGCCGACGTTGAAGGTTGAGCTCCTGGGATATCGCACCTCACCCTCCTTACCCGCTCAATCGAAATCTATGAGCATCACCTTCGAGTCGCGGGTAGTAAAAGATAACATTAGGCCGACGCAAGTCTCCAACCCTTGGCAATGAAGCCGTGCGACTGTTGCCCTGATCGGACTATACGCATCAGCCGGCCAGGCATCCAGAGGAGTCGACTGGGCGTTGCTCCCCCCGTCGATGATGTATTCCCATGACGACCATGCGCATGGGGCCCACGTACCATCCACCGCATTTACTACTGGCGCCACCCCCCCGCAGCACTTTCGACGCCATTGAAGAGGCCGCAAAAGAGCAGTCTGGGGTGCGCAGCGAGACACGGATGGGCATCAACACCATAGCGGTCAACGAATTTGACGATAAGCTTCCGCGGGTTGGAATCCCGACTCAGACGTGGTCTGCGCAAGGAAGATAACATTGGGTAGAACCACTCCCGAAGATACTCGAACTCGGTTCTGGTCTGCGAGTCGTGCTATCAGGGCCGCGGGAGGAGAGAAATCCGAGTGGCCGTTCCGGAAAGAGGAATTGATGATCAAAAACGCTGTGTACTTTGAACAAGTTAAAAGGCATGGGTGGTTGACAGTCTCCAGAGGATACCGGAGTTAAGTGTGTATGTTTGCTACTATCTAGACACCGCTATTGCGTTTTGGATATTGAATCAGTATATAGGATAAGACTCGTAAGAAAGATGGATCCCGATGCCCGAGAGCATAAGTAGTTTTGTTCAGTCACGTGAATATGATGTTCGGTCAGCGTCCCGAACGCGTTGAACTTGGACCATTGCCACTTACGACCACTGTCTTCCTCTCGACGGCTCTACAGCAACGATACGCATACAGAAAGCACCGACATGTCTGCATTCAACTCTGTAATCTCGTGTGCAGCAGAATGGCCCACTGAGATACAACACCTGGCGTGCTTACTTGACTCTCCAATTCCCCCACGACTTTCTAATGGCCCATTCCCAACTGTCTCTTCTAGAGCATCTCCTTTGCTCGAGGAGCTCGTAAATATTCTGGTATCTTCACCAGAACAACTCACCGAGTCACCCTCGGAAGTACTGGATATTTTGGATTTGGTGCTTTCGACCGTTGGTGCACTCCGAGCTCTGTCGTGCGCGTCGACGGACAATGCTACGCAGTCAACGATAGCGTTTTGGTCACTTCTGATACGGTCTCTGGCATTTGTCTGTTATGATAAGTCATATGCAATGTAAGTGCGATCAATGTAAGGCTAAATGTGCATACTGATGAAAATGGGGCGTAGGGAAGAGGTAGCTTTCGTCCGACCACGGTTATCGCACGTGCGAAGTTTCCTGGAGGACGGACATGCTTCATTGCTGATATCTCACGTCGTTGAAGATATTCAACGGCCAAGGCCTGTAGTGGAGAACGAAGCTTCGGGGCGCCTGTCTATCGGGACCGCGGAACGATCAAATGAACGATCGCAGGAAGAATACGAGTCTGAAACTTCATACGACGATTCATCATCCTCCGATAGTGACACCAGCTATGAACACACGGAGGCTTCGACGGATCTGACATCAGCCCAGTCATCCTACGTTCCCCTTGATGCCCACGTTCTCGCTTCTTGGCGACACCCGAACTCTGTTGTTCTCCCGTACCTTTGTGTCACCGATGAGGATGACATTTTCAGCCTAATGAGTGGTGTTCTTTATCAGCGATCTACTTGGGGAATTTCTGAGCCTGTTATTGGATTTATCCTGTCAAAAACAGGATTCGTGGGCCGAGTGGTGCTCGGTTGGCTTGACAAAGTGTGCGCGGACCCTGATGTTCTAGTGCGTTGGCTTCTTCTGACTCATTACCGCCACTGACAAAATTTGAATAGCCCCCAGTTCGTTTTGCGCATGCAGATGGGACGCGTACAGACTCCTTATTAGGGGTGTACGACCTCACCGACCCCCTCAGCGCTCTGAAATTTGCACAATTTATCATCAGCCTTCGTGCGCATGTCGAGGGAATCGTTGGCCAACGCGGAACTCCGACGTTCAAACGACTTGCGTGGAGATCAGATACTATCGATGATGACAGCTCCGGCCCCGAAGAACAATGGGAACAAAGGATTGTTTGTTGGCTAAATACGGTTGAAAGATGGTCGGCGTTTCTTCATCCGGCCTTGCCCTTCTCTCTCATCTACTTAACAGTGACACGAACCAAAAAGGACGTTCGGATCCTTCATCACCTAACTACTATTCATTTGCCATGGATGACTCTGAACGACCCGTTACGCGGGCTTCTTCCAAGGCCAGGTCTGCACACCGTCCGAGGCGCTCGATGTCTGCAGATAGTAAACGTGAACCTCCGCCAGCGGAGCCTGCTCGATTTGTACCCGACGTCAATCTCATGTACGTCCTCGAACGTTCCCAGGGAGCTACGGGTTCGCGGACGCCGTCGGATAGAGCGTCTGCTCAGCCCGATGAACGTGGACGACAAGAGTGAGGATCGACGGTTTCTCTGGAATTCCTTCTAACTGTTTTTCAGAAGGAAGACGGATGGTGGGTCTTCTGACAATGCAAAGACTAGTAAACGCTCGAAGAGCGCAGATGCATTGTCTTGTTCAGCGTATGTCTTGATTTTGACTGTTTCCAACTATGCATGCTGACGCTGGGTGGCTAGGTTGGGTGCAAAGTCCTTGGCCGGCATATCCCATTCCGCGAAGCTCTCATTTTCCAGTTATGCACATGATCGCCATATCACGAGTTTGACCAACGTACAGCTCAACGTAGATGGCTCGGAACTGAAAAAATGGAAGATGACCGCACTCGAGATCAACGAGATGCTCGAATTTTACACCAAAATGACAGAATATATGAAACCACCTATTACTGAGGTCAGCGTGTCTAGCCGCTACCGACTAACTGTATCGCTAAACTATCCTAGCACGAATTGCCTGTCGTCGACAAACGGGTTGAGGATGTGCGAACACACTTCTTCAAACAAGCAAATGCGTGCCCGGACGGCAAGAATACTCCTGAGCTCCCTCAAGACTTATGGAGTGTCATTTCTGGGTGTTTCTCGTCTCTTTTGTGGGCGTCAGTTGGCGGATACTCGAAGGAGCTGGGCGGTAAATCCCACAATGAAGCTGAAGCCCGCCACGAGTGGGATATTCTTCTCAATCTTGGTTTTGTGGACACCCAAGAGCTGGCCTCTGGAAGAGTAGTGTAAGTTCTTTCGAGAAATGACTGCGTATTCTGTATTCATTGGTATTCCAGTTTGGAAAGAGCGCTGTCGCTGTCCCGTAATGTCGCCGCAGATTTGGCAAAATCATCTGCTTAGTTCAATGGCAGACAATTCCAGGATGTTGCAGAGCAATCATACGATATCATTCTATCTGTTCAACGACTATTGCGTGACAGTCCCATCTCTTCTACGGAGGACAAGCTTCTCCGTCAGACTTTGCATGTTTCTCATGCTGCTGGACTCCATACATTGGCTGTCTCGGATCTCTTTGCTAATCCAGAAGCAGCGAAAACTGCTATTTTAAAGCGTGCTGGTGATGAACCAGAACTCGGCATTGTCGATGCGATCCTCACAATACCACTAGACCACGTCCGGAAAACGTCGGAACCGCTTGTTCGTATCACAGAAACCCGCGAAACTGTCAATGCCGCTCGGACACTCAATCCAGATAATATTGTTGAGCCTGACGGTGTTGCGGAACCTGACGAGCCGTCGTCAAAGGCGAGAAAGGGTCACGCTAAAAAGTCTAGTGGATCTGGACCTCCTTCGGTACGAACGAGGTCGATGTCCGCTCGAATGGTTGCAATCGAGGAAGAGCGGGAAGCAGCTACTCAAGGATGTCTCAGTGACGAAGCGAAGAGGGCCGATGACAAGAAAAACGACACACCAAAGACGAATACGGAAGACCTAACACATCCATTGGCGGTGACATGCTCAGAGACGAAATCAGCACCCAAGATGGTCTTCCGGCCTGGAGCGGTGATGAACGTCAAGGAGCTCCTCACGAAACTTCTGTTGGCTGTTCTACTCGTCGAGTACAAGAAGCGCACTCAGACTTACGCGAAGGCGCTTGTGCAGGCGAAAATATACTTGGAAGCTTCGGTTAGGTATCTTGCAAGTCTGGGAGTCACGAAACAAGGTGTTTTCGCGTTAGCTACAGATGGTGTCGAAGGAGCCGTGCTGATGGCTTGGTGTTCGAGAGATTCCGAGGCAAGTTCTTTTCTCCGGCTCGGTACCGTGCCTGTATTCATCTCGTTTTACTAGACCGTCCATATCGTCGAATGCAATGTGCGGACATTCAACATCTCCTCGCCCATAGAGGCTTACCACTTCGTGACGGTCCTTTTACGTCTGCGTCGGTATGGTGATACTACCCTGAAGGACGCGGTTGAGAAGGCATTAAAAGCAGGTGACTTCCAACAAAAGAGCTGGAGCAAAACGGCGCAGTATGCAAGGATGCAATGAGGTTAGATGAGATTTATTGCACATGCTTTCTACCTGCTATCGAAGATTTGCTATCTAACTGATGTACTTGAGATAGATATATTTGAACCGTTCTCTTAAATTAACACATCTGAGCACGTTTCAGCAAATCGACATGGATAAATTAAAGCACATTATGCTGAAATTTTAAGCCTCAGCGTTCGAACTTGAATGTGTTTGGGGCTGCAAACCAAGGCGCATGGATTCGTAGTCGGTATTGCCTGTTCAAGTTGTTCTCGACAAGGTTCTGCCTCAATATCCGATCACAGCTGGTGCATGACTCTCGTTTTGAAGAACAGACACCGAGATAGGGGGATGGTCACGGATGGGCTAATGGAAGGAGAAAGAGATGCAGGGAAAGATTAATGGAGGGTCTGATATGACGGATTTTGAGAACACACGTGGGCCTCTGGTTTTAATGTTTCCCTCATGTGACTCATCGATTGTTATACCAGGATGTGTAGGTTACTATTAAAGCTCAAGCTAGACGAGTGGTCAGGAACCTAGACGTGGTTCGCTCTTACCCCCGGTTTTGTCTTTGCTGCATACTGACATCTCAGTAGAACTGGTCGCGGGTTGCGAACTTCGACGTAGGAAAATTAATGCTAGAAACTACTTTGGCGACTGTATGCCTGGATAACTATATGCGCCTAGTTTATCTCTTCTTTGTCTAAGGCTACATCATTCATCGGCGTTTTCATGAGCGGCGTCAAAGCAACAATAGCGACCATGGGGCCTATCTTCCTGTCCAATTTTAATGGATACTAGAGGAAGACATGTCACTCCAAGTGAAGTTTGGACGCTTGATGGCAATCTTGATACTAGCCGACTCCTCATGCCAGCGCTCCAGCGTACTCAGGGGGCTGCGTTTTAAACATTATCGGCACTATTCATGGCAGCCAATACTTAATTTCTCTAGTACGAAGTATTATGTGGATCTTCTCAATGTTTGTCTTTTCTTATCCGGTGCAGATATCATCATCAAAAGCTCATCTGTATTCGAGAATAGCATGAACATTAACTGCTTTTGTGCTTGCTGGAAAATATTCTGCTAAACCTCTGAGAAGTTGAGAGAGGCGCCGCTAAATCGGTAGGTGTAGCTTCATCACGTTTTATGCATCGTCACTCATTATCAAGCTAGTCTGTTTCTTCAATCAGTGATTCAGGGCCAGAGATATAGATGGCCATTTTGCGGTGAATCAATTCTTGCTGGTGGGTACTTATTGATCCTCGGCCCTACGACTGCGGCGATCTCCCATATTACCAATACGATTCTTCGCTGCAAGGCTGACAATGCCCTGGTGGAACAAGGCGATTTCTTTAACAAATACTTCCTTCGCGCATGTAAATGGCTCTCGCATATGATGTCGCCGCCATTGAAGCGGTCGCTTTCAGTTAGAAAGAATCGACGGCGAACACCTTCGACGTCACCCGATTCCTCTAGACCTTGGTTCAATAATATCCAAGAAATGATGAAGGACGACTTGATTGAATCTCCAATGAATCACTCGGAGGCGAAACGGAGCGTCAGCGTTACTCTCATCGTGATCAATCGTTACATTATCTGACGATATCGACTTGAGGCTCTGATTCGTGACAATTTTCGATGCTTATTATCTGGAGCGGTGGACATGTCCTCTTACTTGAAAAACGAGGAGATCAAAGCCCAAGTGCTTGCCCAATCATTGATGGTTCATGAGACACGCTGTAGCCACATCTTCTCTAAGTCCATTTACCCTTCCCTTTCCGACGACGCCATGGTGTTTTTCAAAAGTTTCTCGTTGCTGTCGGACGCTGACCTTATTCGAAGGTCGACTGCACAAACCTGGACCATCATCAAGGACTTCGGTCACTCAGAAATCCAAGATGAACTAGGCAGACTGCTTGGAGAAGATGGAGCAAGACAAGGAAGAGCATTTTCTAGCTACAAGTGGAGAGTCTGCAGGTATGCTGGCGACATGCCTCTATGATATCAGTTTTTCGCATGGACCCACCGGAGTGCGATAGTCTCACCATCGGTGCATATGTCCTGTGTACATGCACGCTGGTACAGCATTCTTTATATATGTACAGGTGCAGAGCTATTAGGAGAATCGTCAATGTAGTACCTTAAGCAGTCGATGAAATAACTCACAAGGTCCTGAATAGGAGCGCTCCTTGGTGGCATCAAGTCTGAATGGCCGACTCAATGCCTCCGCCTTGGAAAGCAATATCGAATATGCTTTGTCCTCCTCGGAACAAACGAGGATGCTCTCCCGCTGGATGTCTCCATCCTGATCGAGCCATGTGCGTATCACGATAATATTGAAGTCACCTCCGAGTCACTGCGACATATCCTTTGCAGAATAAGCCGCAATTGAAGTGCCATTACTTGCATCTGGGTGCAACCGAGGTCGAGTGGGAAAGAATATCAAAAAGTCCTGGATGTTGGTGGGATAGTCGACATACATGGTCCGAGGAGGAGCATCATGGCGGTTTGCTGGTAAGATAGGGCTCGGAGCTAAAGGACGCTGTTCACTGCTTCTCGATCACGTGTGTATTTCCAAGCGCGCCGCGACAGGTGTCCTCTGCGAGCACACAGTTATTTAGTTCCTCTGTATAGTTAATTACCACCTTGTCGAGTCACATTGGTGGTAGAAATTCCTAGATGAGGATTGTGTATGGTACTCCGAAGATATAATCGTCCCCGCTGCATCGTCAGGACTCTTTCACCTATTTTCCTTCCTTTACTTAGCCTGCTTAGTATGGCTCAGGACGTTGCTTCACAAAAAAAATGTATTCCAAAGGACTTGGAGATCTGGAGAATCGATAACAAGTCATCGACATACTGATGACGCCGGTCTCGCATCGTTTGGCTAATCCGAGTCTGGGTGGTACCATCGATATACCGATTTCGCACCTTGTTCTCGCATATGGGGCTCCTTTTGTAAAAGGTTTTGTACCATTGATATGCAGGCTACATGTCCAGCCCTATAATTTGCAAATTCTGCATAACACACTAGAATATGCTAGTAACTGAGAATCATTAGCCAGTAGAGGACTATGGCTGAGGCTCCGAGCTGATAGTCATGCTAGTCACCAATACTAAGTCCAAAAGAGACTTTGTAAAATAACATGGCCTAAGGATAAAAATCCTAAGTCAGGTTTGAACTTAGAAAAGTTCAGCACCACACCTTGGAAAATACTAAGTCCAAGTTGGACTTAGAAATAGTACCTCAAATGG